AGAGAGGCTTGGGAGAGGTGGTTGGACAGTGACTGGTTCGCCTTAAGGGATTACCGCAGACATCTTGAAAAGCAAGGCGGTGGCGCTTTCCAGGTTGTTAGTGCTCCTAGCGACAGGTCGAGATATGGCTCGGGTGTACCAGATGAAGCCACTCGTAAAAGAGTGCGCAGAGAGGCCAAGCAGAGTATTGAGGCGGCGAGGCGTAAGATGGAGATGAAGAGCTTGATGCTCGCGTTGGATACGAAGGATGAAGAGGCTGTGAAGGAGTGGTATAGGCGGAATGGTTATGGGTATGTCGTCGATGCGGAGATGAGGATAGATGACGACGAAGAGTTTGACCTGAGGGCCTACTATCGCTCCATAGGCATCAACCTTGATGCTTCGAGCGATGAAGAGGATGAGATCGAGGCGCCCGCTGATGCACTATTTGGTGCTAGCAGCGAAGTGAATGAAAAAGCTGTTGCCGATGTAGCTGAGACTTTTGGCTCGCCCACAACGAGACCCGTCACGGCTACGCAACAGGCTTCATCACCCCATTCCTCACCATCATGCTCATCCCCATCTCCTCGCCGTTCTATGTCACCTTCCCACCTCACATCACCTGCTCGCAAACGGGATGTTTTCCCAGACGGAACAAGTACACCACCGACACCAGGCCTATCCTCAGCCCTTATCTCTCCTGATTCTTCTCCATATACACCTCTACCGTCAACGCCTCGCACAGACACCGCCGATCTTGCCCTAGTTCATAATTCCGATATCGTCGGTCATGACCAGATGGAGATCATGGGTGTTGACGAGGAACCTGTTGGCAGGAAGCGCCCCAGGGAGGAAAACCCAGCCGAAGAAGAGCTGAATAGGTCAACCAAGAGAAAGCGTATGACACTCCCTCGTGTACCCGAAGCTATACATGCACAGCCCACTCCGTCGAGTGGTAAAGATATGCAAGTCTCAGAACTGGTTACTGCGGCACCCTCTGCACGAAAGCGAGCAAGAGAGGACGAGTCGCAGATGGATGGAGAGCGACACCCGAGGAAACGTAGAATCTCTCAAACACCAGCTGCAGCTACCAGGAGATCGGCTCGCATTGCCAGTCAGACTCGAAGTGCAATGCACATTTGCGGGGGTGGTTCATGAATATTGTACTACCACTCCACAGCTAGGTTGGCGAAAGCCTCTCATACACAGCTGTGCCTCTTCTACTATTTCCGTTTAGTACATTACCGCGCTATGTATTTAACTTTTAATTTACCTTAGTGAAATTCTGATTACGTGAAACACTCGATTATGTAAACGCTGGGCGTTCAGGTCAATCACGAACACGTGTGACCGCTTCGGAGGCTCTTTCTCTTCTTTGTTCCACTCATCGCGAACCCATCGTGTCGTTCTGTATCGACAGTGCGTGATTTCTAGGGAATTATTTTGTATTGGCTGACGCATTCATCTCTACAGTGGAAACTTCATTGTATCCAGGTACTACAGAACTAGTCCGAAACGGGCATGCAATAGCTGCTGTACACGCATCGCATTACAGTGCCCTCCTCGAGTCGTCGCAGAGTCAAATTGCGGATATTACCTCACAGATCCAACAACTGGAGCGCACGCTCATCACTCTCCAGTCGAATGAACGCCAATACCGCTCGCTGTTTGCTCCCATTCGAAAGTTACCTACCGAAATTCTCTCCCGCGTATTCGCTTACACCGCTACTCCCAGTCTATTCCGTACCGAGGTCTCCCTTTGTTCATCATGGGCTGTGTCCTTAAGCTCTGTATGTCTTCGTTGGCGTACGGTTGCCTTGGGTACATGCGATCTATGGACGCCTCTATCACTTCACCTGGCTCCAGCCCTCAACTATCCCCAATCCGTTGTCACACAGCTCGAGCGTCACCTAGAACGCTCAGCGAAGGCCTCTCTGCAACTCGAAATCATTTTGCCGCAGTGTTCGATGAAAAGGTCAAAGGTTACAGAATCCTCGAACTTGATTCTCCAGCTGGTTCTGGATAATGTGGACCGTTGCCGTGTGCTGAAACTTGATGGATCGAGGACCCATATTTTTCTAAGCCAAGTTTTTCTCAAATGCTTCCACAGTCATTTCTCCTCTCTTGAGGACCTGGAAATCATTTTGGGAGTTGTCGGGAACAGTCAGCCAGGAAGCATGTTGGACATGATCCAAGAATGGCCATCGGAAAAACTCCGACGCTTATCCATTGGTCCATCCCACAAGTTCTTGCTGGACAAGTTGGAAACCTACTCCTTCCCATACACGCAGATCACACACATCACTCTCGATAACGAGTTCCAAGCGGTCGTCGCGCTCCTCGGACGACTACCGAACCTGCAGCACGTGCACCTTACTGTCCCAGCTTCATTAGACAACGACGGTGATAGCGACGATGACGATGAGCAGGAGGAGCAGGAAGAGGAGCAGGAAGATGAGCAGGAAGAGGAGGAGCAGGAGCAAGAGGAGCAGGAAGAAGACAGTTTTACGGAGGTGGGTGAAGAGGAAGATGGTCACTACAGAGCCGCCTATCCCATTCGCTCTCTACCATTGCTCAAAGAGCTTACAGTCCAACTGCGCGGGGTAACGGACTCTTTCGGCAAGCGCCCGTATCTGCCGATGTACAACCTGCTCTTCTCCATCGACGCCCCGCGCCTGACGTCCCTGACGCTGAAATCGGATGGTACACACTTCGCGGCATGTGACAAAACCGGGGCTCTCCTTGGTAAAGGGGTCGAACAGTTGATAGCTAGGTCGAACGCACAACTGGAGCGTTTCGGTTTGGATTGTGTTCCTTTCACAGATACTGTCCTTCTTCGACTTATAGGCCGCCAGGAGATGTGTGGTCTTCGGGAGCTTGGCGTCAAGGAGCTTCACGGGGCAAAAGTCATTTACAAGACTCAGAGGATAGGCAACGTCAACTTCGGATCCTCCATTACAGCTAAGAAGCCCCCTGCGAATCTTATCGCTACAAATCATTTGTTGAAGAGCCTGGTCTGGGATAAAACAGGTCATTCCATCTAAACATTTGCATCGCTACTACTGATAACAATCACATAAAGATGCCACCGAATCACGCCTGTTACCTCAACTTCGCAGTCTTCGTCTACATGTTTATCACGGCTTCTCTGCAGGGCATTTGGAGACTTTCCTAGAATCACGTCGGGTAACACTCGACTCGCTTGCCATGTGTCTCAGTGTAGAGAAGGAGCATGGCCTCGATACAGTTCGTCTGCACCAGCTTCAGCACAATGGTATGGCAATACGCGTGTGGGTGAAACTTGACACCGATGGCCCCGTCAACGATGTCGCCGCGATGATGCTGCGTCACCTTCAGGAGACCAATGCAGCGGCGAATCACTCAGAGGAACTCATGGCAGGATATGGAGTTGATGGAAATGCCTCTTAGTTTTGCATTTATCTCAAGTTATGCTCTCTCATACCAATCAGATATACTGTACTTGAATGCATTTTTAATCTCTAATTAATCGGACTTTGGCTATGCTAACGTTCTTAGAACCGCCGGTCGCTATGTGCCCACAGTTGCAGACTTGCAGTCCGGAGAGTCGCTTCGTGAACGTTCCCAGCTCATTGCTGTTCTGGCTCATCTCGAAGGCGATATCTTATCGAGCCTCGTAAGCCCTCGTACACAGGCGCAGGTCATTGACCGTTCATAGCTAACGTCCTTTTCAAGTGATTTTTGAGGCGTTGAAGAAACGCGTGTTAGTCGGAACACCAACCACAACGAGGTCCACAATAATGAAAGGCTGCCGATGGGGAGAAACAGTTAATGATGAGGAATCTAACTTGATCGCGTTCATAATATTGTACAAATCAATGGTCTGATTCCAACCTTGTGTGTGTAAGGTCGAAGTTCACCGTAAAACATCGTAGTAAATGGCTTTCCCTCCTCGTAATCCGATTCGACCCACAACTACACTTCCTATCCAACACCAACGCTTCTGAATCCCGTAGTCTTGTTTTATGGACGTTGGGTAAGGTATAATCACCGGCATCGTCTCCTGGGTTCTGCGAGCAGTCCGGAACATCGAGAAGCTTGGACTTCATAGATGGGTATTCCTGGTTGTTCTGTTGCTGCACCCATCTTGTGTGCGCGCACAATCGACGCACAATACACGTCGTCCCATAGCCTGAATTTTCTTGATCAACCATTTTCTAGAGAGAGATCTTGCATGTTTTAGTAGCGTATGGGATAACCTTCAGTCGTAAATAGTTAGAACGCTGTTAGTTGAGATAGATAGTGTCGACGCACCGTAGATATTGAGCTGATTATCTCGCTCATAGACAAATGTCCTTCTCTTTTGCTTATTCCCAACACTATATTTCCTGAGCTTGTCGATAAGGGATCGAGGTCTCATAGCATGTCGTCAAAAATTACCAATGCCAGTGAACTTGACTCTTGAGTGAAACGGAGGTTGCAGTGATGCATGAACGGAGTGGAGATTGAGTGGAGACCCTAAAAAGTGATCTAGTCTCACTTTCTATCAATAAGATTGAAAACATACCGATGAACACGACTCTGAGCTTGACATTGATGGAAGAAGTTAGCACAGTGCAGACCTGTCGCATTTTTCGAACTTCCTGACGTAAGCTACCGAAGATTAAGCGCGCGCACCCGCGTCTAGCGCCACTTTCAAGGCCTCCTCGTCGTTCTGCTCATTGTTCAACTACTCAACTTCCCCCAGACATCGTAACTAAGAATATGTAGTATACCACATGTATACCACATGCATTATATTGTTTTGGCGAAGATTTTACCTAAACAAAAGGCGTAAAATGCAGCTATTCAACGCGATATTTAGACTACCTTGTCCTCGACGCCACCCGCATTCTGGATTGAAAACCATCGTATACCTATACAGATAGAGTTCAAAGGACATTTTTAAAACTTGTTTATCAATGCCTATTCTGCGAAAGAGCTCCGAGACCTCTTTGAACAATATACTCGCTTCTGCCTGCCTCCAACGCAAAAATTACCGCTGCCGACTGGCTGGATCGAACAACCGACCTTCGCATTACGTAAGCTTTACAAGTGCGACGCACTACCACTGTGCTAAGCCGGCGATATATGGCTCTGGGGGTGTCCAGTATCGACGGGGAAACAAGGGAAAGACGAGGGACGAGGAGGAGGACGTTGCGGAAGCGCCACAGTCGACGCGGAACGTGCCGTGGTCATTGTGTCTCAGAACGGTCCGAGAGTCCGGATTAGACACTGTTTCAAACCGTAGAGAAATGTCTATTCAAGTCTTTATATGAAGGTATACGTCAACGAACAGGTAAAACTATCATAGCGGAGCCCAAGGGGTATCCGAAGTCTTATTGTTGAACCGTTCATACTCTAGCGATGCCAACATGAACGCACTATTACCTATCGGGCTATTATACTCGATAGGCTGGCCAACATAATACTAGAGCTCATCAGTAACAGTACACATCACCAGATTAAACAAACGCACCTCATACGAAGACCCAGAATCCAACCCACAACCCGCAACCGTCCCATTAAACTCGATTGTTCCATTTGGATTCTTCACCACGAACGTCTCCTCAAGATATCTGTATGCCTTACTCGCTGCCTCCATATACACCGACTCCTCATACGTCGAATTCGCCGCCACCTCCGCCCCATCTCTAAAATACCCATACCTATTCCCTTTGAACAACGAATACACAAACAACGCAGTCGCACTCGACTCGATGTAATTCCCAACTTTACTCGGTTCGTCCATAACCTGCCACCAACCACCTGAAGAGCCCTCGGCGTTCTTCAAAAGCGCGTCACCGATGGACTTGAACTTGCTCTGCATGTTCGACCACTTGTCCAAAACCTCGGACGGAAGATTGCCCTTGGACATGGCAATATACTCCAATGTATCCACCAAACCCGCCGTATACAATGCCATCGCGCGTCCAAAAACGTGTGGACTTTGTCCGGTCTCCTGGTCGGCCCAAGAAGCTTTCTTGGAAGCATCGTACCCGTGCCTAAGCAACCCCGTCTTGTTACAGTGACAATGCTCCCAGAGGAGATCAAACTGCAACGCCACATCCCCAACGACATTCGTCGTATTATCCGGCTCGTGGTAAAGCGCATACGGGATGTAGAACGGACCAAAAGCATACATCGAGTCGATGATGGACCATTCGGGATAGCGATTCCACCACCACAATCCACCTTGGGTATTACGAGGTTGTTGATCGATGGACTGGTGTAGAGCGTCAAACGCATCGCGATACTTCTCGTCTTGGGTGTTGGAAGCCATATTAAGCATGCTAGGACCGACAGCAAGCCTATCGAGAGTGTAAGTCAGGGCTTTCTCGACCCCGGAGACGGTATACACGGCGGAATTGACGAGAGAGGGGTAGTATGTCTGGTATGTGCCTCTGTAGGGGTCGCCGGGGTATTGACGGATGAGTTTGAGGAAAGCCTTTTGGACGAGACCGGTTTGGAAGAGTTGGGAAGAGTCGTTGGTGGTTAGGAAACCTTGTTGGCGAGTGAGCATGCTCCAACCAGTCCAGAGTGCGTTGGTGGAGTTGAAGTTACCATCGGCGGCGGCGAAGGAGATGGTGGAAAGCAGAAGGGATAGGCGAAGGAATGAGAGGAGCGCCATGTTGAACCTAGGGGAACGTGAGAGGCTTGCGAGCAAAGAATTGGGTATAGAACGTACCTAGAATCAGGGCTGAAGTTGGGGCGGAAATTGCAAGTCAACGCTCTATATATCCGTTCGGAAGGCGGAACATCAACCGGCGATTCCTGTGGCTGTAGTTTTAGTTCATTTCGGAAAGTGCTTTAGCCCCGAGTTTCATTCAACGACGGAACGGCGGAACGGCCAAGCACTTCGGAAAATCACTGTGGTGGAGCGTTTGTGTCGGAGAGTGTTTCAAGCAAGAAAAACATTAGATTATATGGATTTGGATCAAAGGTTTATGGCAAATGAAGCCAGCTCACCACGAAGAAGGGAGAGACCAGCATCAATGGAAGGCTAAAAGAGCGGATATCAGTTGATGTCCACGGGTCATAGCAAAACGGACCACGAACAACATGACAAAATATGTAATCTTTTTGTAATTTTGGATTGATATAAATGCTGAAAGCCGAAGACTAGAACAATACCGTCTCGGACGGCACAAATATAGCCCTGAGCTCCCAGTCTTCGCTTCGCAAAATTGAGAAGAATCGACGCCGTCGATTACGTGGTGAATACCCTTCACTGCTAATCCAAGAGCAAAGGCAATAAACAACCTTCAACCTTCCATGAAGTTGTGGAGTAACGTTGGTACTATTTTCCGCTCAAGTGAGCTCTCAATCAGTGAATGATGAGTTGGCGTTGGGTAGACGGATGGCAATCCTCATGGCGATGGGTTGAGCATCGATACTGAAGGTGAGCTATTGTCCAGCTCGTATAAAGATACTAAAAACAAGGATATAGTCAGAATCATGCCAGTTCAAAGAGGAACAGAGGTGATGCAGAACTCGAAAGGAGACAGACAAACGAACACGGCGCAACTTGAACTTGAACGCTTAACAAGCTTAACTCGTTATTGAATCTCAACGTCTATCCGAAGACCTTGCGAAGGGCCCTGTACAATATAGTCTGTACCTATTATGAATGTCAATGAGGGGAATAACGGGACAACGACGGGCTCTTGCCTTCTAGCCTAATCACGGATGGGAGTCAAATGCAAAACTTGGCTTCGGGCGTTCTTCGGCTCGAGTGCCCCGAAGTCCGAACCACTTCCGAACGTAGAAATACTGCTCGTCATCGTTGCTTATGACGACCACGATGATTGCTCGCTGTCAATGGCCTTCCTCAACATGGACTCTCAAGATTATTCTCTTTTCCGGTAATTTCTTTGAAGCCATCATGACAGTCATTCTGAATCTCTCTACGCAGCTTTGTATTCTCCACCATTTGGATAAAGCGTCCAAGGCTAAAGTTACACGGACCTCCGAAATAAACAGTGACCTCGAACGATGACATGCGCAGGCCCTCCTTACATAGACCATCGACAGGGTGATACTTGTCGCTGGCCTTTCAAACGTACTATCCTAGTCGTCCGAGCTCACTGTGACAACACCCTAGATGATACTCCTGGACCTCCTGTCCTTGTCTCTCCTCATCACCCATGTCATCTTCAATCTGAACTACTCCCCCTGAATGGCCTCCAGCACTATCGCCCTCCACCAAGGCATCTTCACCGAAACCGTTGGTTCGTCCGAGCTTCTCCAGGTATCGTCGGCAGAGAGTAGTGCAACTGCGATGTTTGTTCATGCCCTCTTCAAAGGGAGTAGGTTGGGGTACTAGCAGCCCGAGACGAGATACACGAAGGTGGCGAGCCGGGCGTATGAGATGACATTAGTAGAGGTTTGTGGTTAGGAACGAGCATGGCACGTTAGGAACAGTGGCATGTGTAGTTTGAATTCGAAGGTGTCGTATGAGGTACGTTGTCGTTCATTCATGTTTTTGCTGCAACTGACTAATGGATTAGTGCAGTATTACATTAGACAGCCGTTTCTGGACAGCAGTGCTTTCAAGGACATGGGGCTTTTGTGCTGGCTTCGTTGGAGTGTGGACGGGTTCATGCTGGGGGTGCTTAGGGATAGCACTATGCCTTTGCTGTTACTATTCCTCAATCTATACCATTCCAGTCTCCCTGTACGATACTGCACTTGTCGCAAATTGTAGTTAGGACATGCGTCACCATTTCAGCTGAAAGTTTACATATACATAAGTAGGCACAGTGTTTGAACAGAGGTTACATTCTTGCGAGTCGGTTACATTGCAAGCTTGACATTATGCATTACGAGCCAGAAGCGAGGAGACAAGAGATCTACATAGAGATGGTCATCGTCGAAGGATATCAATGTCAAAATCAACGTGACTAAATTCGTCGTCATCGCCGACCCCGGTCCACAACCGGTAAGCGGCAACGACGACTCCGTTATTCTGATTCCCTCCACTCATCGTATCATGCGACCCTTATCCGTAACTCAGCCATCTTCTTCACGTCAGTCACCTCATGGACCTCAAAGCTTCTTATATATTGCCTGGCAGTGGCGAGAAACAGCATCGTGACGACTTTCTTTCCCCACAACGACGGCACCCCTGCAGCAATATGGGCAAGAAAACCAACCTAGGATGGAGAACTTTGCGATTTTGGATGATTTTAGTGGTGGTTTCCGTTGGCTTTACAATGGCTTCGTGGAGTGGGAAGCGAGATATAGGCATTGGGGGCGAGAATCGCGTCCTTGAGTTCCCTGGTAACGACGATGTTCGGTTCGACAACTACAGCCTTATCCTGAAAGGACAGAGGATTTTTCTTCAGTAATTCTTCACATTCTTTGTCTTCTTGTCATTATTCACAGCCATGGTCAACCTAGCTCCGGTGAATTCCACACCTTTCGACTTCCCGTACCCTCGCTTTGGCCAGACATTCTTCAAAAGTTCAAAGCGGCTGGTTTGAACAGTATCAGCGTGTACACGCACATGGGACTCATCAATCCTTCTCGTGGAGTGGTCGATTTCGATGGATATCGTGCCTTGAAGCCCCTCTATGAGGCGGCAATGGAAGTAGGCATTTGGATCGTGTTGAGGCCAGGTGTGTTGCTTGTCATCTATTCTATACGAGAACCATGTGACCGATCTGTTTCGCAGGACCTGTAAGCTTACTTGGACTTCAAATGATAGACGCACCACTCACAGGAAACAGTACATCAACGCAGAAACAACAGCTGGCGGTATTGCACACTGGGCTACCAGCGAAGTTGCAGGAGACCTACGTACCAACGACAGTGATTGGCGCGCTGCATGGCAGGACTACATTGTTGGAATCATCCACGAGACGAGAGAATACCAAATTACAAACGGTGGACCAGTAGTCGCTATCCAGCTCGGTAAGCCGACCGGCGTTTCGACGATGTTATACATACTCACCAGGAGTACAGACAACGAATATACCCAAGCAGAGGGTGGACCTTACTTTGAAGACCTGAAAGCCGTGTACAGAGATCCTGCCAATGGCATAGACGTTCCACTGACGTACAATGATCCTGGCCCAGGTAGAA